CGGTAGGTCCTGTCTCAAGAAACCACTATCTTTGTTCATCCCTAAGAAGCAGCTCCTCATCTGTTCAAGTTTTATCATGAGATTGCRGCAATTCAGTCAYACCTTCTAATTCTTGCTATTTCCACCAAATCTGCAGTTACTTCCTCCACTGAAGTCTTGAACCCCTCTCAAAATCACCCATGAGGGTTGGAATCAACTTAACTCTTTTGTTAGTGTTAATATTTTGACCTTTTCCCCTGAATACAAATGTTCTTTGTGATATCTAGAATAACAAATCTACTCCAGAAGGTTTTCAATTCACTTTGCCCAGATCCATCAGAGGAATCACTATCTATGGTGGGGCTACAGTCTTACAAAAAAAAAGTGTTTGTTAAATAATAAGACTTGAAAGTTGAACCTTGATTCATGGACTGCAGAATGGACCTTGTATTAGCAGGCAGGAAAAGCAAAACAAGACCAAAAACTCCCCAAACCCAAACAACAAAAACAAAACTGCCTGGGGGAGAAATGGCATAATTTGTCCAACCAGAGAAACAGACTGGACCCCCAAAGCACTTTCCTCTTATTCTCCTGCCTCCCTTAAAGAAGCTCTTCCAGAGTGATCAAACTGACCATTTGACAGAGAGGCAAACCAGGATTATGATAAGTAAATTTTGCATGAGGCCACACAGCCTAGCCAGGTTTGTTTAAAAAAGAAACTCAGATTTCTTCACTGTTTCCCCCCTGCTCCCCCCCACACACCTTATGCCTCTGCCTCTAAATTCCTAATACTTTCTGAGTGCCTCTGGCCCATGCTTCTGGAGTCCAGCTGCTCCCAGATCAGTCCAGTGCTCAGGGAGTTTCTGCTATCCCAGGTAGGTACAGATTCTCTGCTCTGCATCACACCCACCCCATCATCACCTTGGTGTCTGCAGGCCCAGCTCAGCAGGGGGTTGCAATTACCATCTGTGTCACTGGCATCTTTACAGAGGCATATTTAAGTCGCTGCAGCACTCACAGGAGAGAGCAAGTAAATACACAGCCCAGCAAAGCGCTGAACCCAGCCTCAGGTCTGACTGCATGGAGCAGACATCAAAGAGTTCACAGCACTCTGGAAAAAATGCAAAGGAAGAAAGAGGAAACTGCTTCTCCCCTTCTGAGACGCTGCCAAAGATTCTCTTGGTCTCTGAATGACAGATGCTCAGATGACACACAGAGTGAAAAGTAACCTCCCAGAATATTCTAGGATGGTCAAGTCTGTGTTACCCTGCAGGACAGGGTAGTAGAGGAGCAGCAGCCAAGAGCTGTGTGGGTAAAGATGGAGGTGCTCAGATGCAGCCCCACTCCGCATGCTGATGGGCCATGTGCTTCTTCACCCCACCACAAGTCCCTGTCAGGGGGGATAGGGACTTGTGGTGGGGTGAAGTGAAACCCACACTCTCTCTCAGGGTCACCCTGGTGGCCAATAGAATCCTATGGACAATAAGATGATGGCTCCATACAACAGGGATCTATTTTGTGACCAGAGCAAGAGCAAGCAGACTTTTGGAGTTCTTGAAAAGAAACATGGGATCCATTGGGAATCTGCCTGGGTTCATTAAAAAATATTTCATGCTAGACACATTGCATCTTAAAAATCAATTATTTATTTAATAAATGTTTAGTGAGCATGCCTATGTGCCAAGAATAAGCTAAGGATATAGCTCTAAATGAAAAGGAAAGTTCCCTGGATATGTGGGGCCTCAGAGGACTGAGGAGGAGAAGACAGACAATAAACCAGTATATGCACAAGGTGCTGGTGGGGGGACAAGTGTCMTGAGGACTGAGAACTGGACAGCAGGGTGGGTGCTGTAGCTGGAATGCCAGGGAAGGCCCCTTGGGGAGGTGGCATTTAGAGAAAGAGAAGGTACCCTGAGCCTGGTGGATCAGCATTGGGATGAATCCCTCTTCCCTAGCAATGGTGACAGGTAAGAGGACTTTGCAATGTATGAGACATCTGGATTTCAGCAAAGCCTTTGGAAGAACCCCTCCATGTAATATTTACTAAAATACGTGCTTGCTCTGTGGCAGATCCTGTTTTATTTATGCACTCATCAGCTCAGACTTTGGGTCTGTTTTATGACCAGTTCTCTACTCTGGGAACTCCTTAAGGGTTCTGGTTCTTCCCATCAAGAGTTTCCTATGTTTGTGGCAAAATATGACACACAGTGGGTGCTTGCTCAGTGAATAGATGGAAGGATGGCTGGAAGAAAGGAAGGAGGGAAGGTAGGAAGGAAGGAAGGAAGGAAGGAAGGAAGGAAGGAAGGAAGGAAGGAAAGAAGAAAGGAAGGAAGGAAGATGGGCAGGCCAGCCAGCAGATGACCTAAAGTTAGGAGGTAGTGTAAATTCTTGAGATCCAATGATCAAGGTCCACCATGAGATGAGATGATGAAGTCAAGAGCCAAACAGAGAGATGGACGCGAGGTAAGATCATACCCATCTGATTCTTAGACCCAGACTTGCCAGGAAGACAGTGAGGGGTACATTACCCATTTGTAACTGGACATACATCAGCACCATGGTGGAACCACTGTAGAAGCCCTGGTGACATTAGAATCTCTTCCCACAAGTGCTTTTGGGATATGGACAGGGGTAATATGCAACTGACTTCCTGGCTATGTGGAGAAGAGATGGGGTCAGGGAGTTGGGTGGCTTGGGAGCAACTCTGTTATCAGGCCTGGCCCTGACACCCTCACACCCTCTTACCTGTCACCATTGCCAGGGAAGAGGGATTCATCCCAATGCTGAAATGCTCCTGACCATTTTGACACCTAAGCTGCCTTTCCTTTCTCAATACCCCATGGGTCCCTTCATGTGTCTCCTCTCTCAACATCCCTCCTTACAGTCAGCAGGTACACCTACCTGTCTTCCACACAGAGATCTGTGCAGGTGCTTCACTGGAGGACTTTGCAATGCAGGTGCAGTGGGACATCAGGTTCTGTCCTTGAGACTTCTCTCTTTCCCTGGTGGCAAACCCATGGACTCCTCAGCTTGAGTCCTATGGCCCAGGTAGCTGTCCAAGGTGGTCTCCTCAGCCAAGTAGCAGCTGTGGGGCTGCATCTGACCTCCCAGAGAAACTGGGCTTCAGTTCCCCTGGGCTGTCTTTGATGCAAGCCTCGGGCCATCATCTAACTTTGGGTGTCAAGAGTTTCATCTGTTAAGTGGATACACCAAGACAGTTTATTGGGAGTTTTAAGTGGAACAATGGGAATAAAATGGCCAGGGCTGGCTTCATAGGCATGAGACTTTGCAAGGCACAGGAGACTGCAGTTTCATCTCTTGAAATTCATGATAATTTTTGAACATGGAGCCCACATTTTTATTTTGCACTGGGCCCTGCAAATTATGTAGCTGGTCATAGAGAGGGCTTTGAAAACCCAAAAAGTGTTGTAAAGCACAGTTAGTGTTATTGATTACAGTGATACAAATTTGTCTGTAAAGGATATGGATACTTATGGCGGGGAGGGGTGTGTACATTTCTGCAAGCCTGGAATGTTGGGATAGCATAGAATTTGTCACTGTATCCTCACCCAGGTCCTCCAAAGACTCCAGAAAACCTTCATTCCCAGGCCATGGACACTGTTCTAATTCTTGATTTGGCTTGATTAGCTGTGCAAACTTCAGCAGTCTCTTCCCTCTCTGGATGTCACTGATCTGCACCAAGCCAGCTCCCACTAGTCCCATCTAATCCTCTCCTGCTGCCCTGCACCTGTTGAAAGCCTGCTCTAAGCCTGGCTGAGCAGCTCTGCCCCTAGTGGGAGTTGGAGGCATGAAACTCCCTTTCAGGAAGCCTGAGTTAAGAGCCACGCCACCTGCTTCTCTACCTCTACTGTCCTCAGACTCTGGGAGCATCTTAACAGCCCGCCCTGGGGAGCCGTCGGGGACTCCTTAATGGGGGTAATTCCTTAAGAGCGGATCCAGCCTTTATCTGAAGAGAAGGTTGTCTAAAGAACTATGCGAGTGTTCCACATCTGTCCGTATGTGTGTGTCTGTGAGGCAATGCCCAGTATGTCCCTCTATACAAGTGCGTCTGCTAATGGACTCCATTCAGTGTGTGGCATTGCTTCTGTGGGTAACTATATCAAGGAGTGAGTGGGTCTGTCACTGTGTGTCAGTGTGGGGCAGTGTAATAATAAGCTAATGGCAGAGCCCTGAATGCATAGGCAGATGGTGTCAGTGATTTGTCTATGGGGCTATCATTCTGTGTGGAACTGTTTCAGATTCTGTGGGCGGGTGTGTTGTAGCATGTGCTTGTTTCTGAGTGTTCGTGTGGGTCTGTGCCCGTGTCTATGCCTGTAGATGTGGTGATCAGTGTCCAGCTCTGCATGGGACAGTGATCCAGCTTGTGCCTGACTCTGTGTATTTGTAAGAGAGCACTACAAACTGCGTGATTCTATGTGTGTGTGCACRCCTGTTACAGTGTCCTAGCTTGTTTCTGTGTGAGTAGAGCAGAGCCCAGAGTGTGTGCGTATGTGTGAGTGTGGGTGTCAGTGTATCTATCTGTGATTCAGTGTGTATTTGTATCCGATGGTGTGTGTCTGTCACCGTGTCTGCATCTGAGTGAGTTGTGGAGGCGTGCTCCTCTGGGTGACGGTGCACAGTGTGTTTGTGTGTGTGTGTGTGTGTGTGTGTGTGTCCTGTGAGCACCATGATGTGTGTATTAGAGCCAACAGAGGCTCCGACGCAAGGCTGTGGCTGAGTGTGTATGTATCAGTGAGTGTCAGGGTCTTTGCTTGGCAGTGGCGTGTGTGGCTCGCAGCGTGTGCGTTATCTCGCGGGCCAGGGCAGGTGTGGACCCCCGCCCGCGAAACCGAGACCCCTCCTGCGAGCTGAGCGGCGGGCACAAGCGCCGGCGCCTCTAGGACCCGGCGGCTGCCGGCCGCTGTCCCCGGGCCGCGCGAGTGAGCATGTGCAGAGCCGGGCGCCCGCTCGCCCGCTCGCCGCCCGCCGCCCGCTCCGCGCCCGCAACCAGCTCCGCGCCCGCACGCCCGCTCCGTCGCCCGCTCCGTCGCCCGCTCCGCCGCGGCTTAGCCGCGACAGCCGCAGCTCCGGATTGCAGAGCGGCGGGGCCGTGCCGGGAGAAGTCGGTCAGCTTGCTGCGGGCGCCGGGGGCGTGCGGGCGCCAGGGGCGCCTCTGCTCCGGGCACTGCGGGGCTGCGGGCTCTGCGCCCCGGGAGGCGGGCGCGTGGCCGGCGGTGCGGACGYCCCAGCCGGCGGCGATCGCGGGGTGAGTCCTGTCTCCCGGGTGCCTCAGCCGGGAACCCCGCGCGTGCTGCAAGTCGGATTTCCCCCAGCCGTGGGCAAACAAGTTTTTGTAGCCCGGACTGGGAGCGCGCCGGGGCTGCACCTGCTCGGGCTTCGGGGCSGGTTTTCGCAGGGTGCCTTTCCGGGGGGCTGGGGAGCGGGAGCGTGTGCGTGTGTGGGGAGCGCTTGGAAACAATCGGGCTGAGCCCCTGGTGCTTTAGCCAGTTGCACAAGCCGGGTCCCCCGCCAGGGTCCGGAGAGACCGTCCGTTTCCCAGGAGGGCTCCGCGGTTCGGGCCCAGGGAGGGGGCAAGGGCAAGATTTGGGGTGCGCACTGTCTCCCTCCTAGTCGGGGACGTTCAGCAGAAGCAGCTCCCTCTCGTTCCGCTACCAAGCCAGGCTTCCGGTCAGCGGAGGTCCCCCCGCCGCCCCCAGCCCCGTTTCTTGGTGAACTTGAACAGAGACCGAAGCAAAGGCAAAAATCAATCGAAACGTCTGTATTTTGTCCGGAAAATTACCCAGCAGAGAGCTTTGCATCTTCCTAGGTGTGGACGGAGACTCACGACTGGACGCTGTTTATTCCGTTTTTCTTTGATACTCAGAAGCATCCCTGGTTTGGATCACCTGTCTCAGGATAACCCCCATGACTGCTTTACTTGAGCATATGAGCCCCACAGAAGATACCTGGTCGTGGCTGGCTCACTGGTGGGGAGGTGGGGGCAGGGACTGGGACCTCTGGCCCTTCTTCTGACTCCTAGGAGGGCTGATGTGGGGGTTTCGGGACCACAGCCCTGCCCTGTGATCCAGTCTCTGATCATTCTGGGGTCCCAGATGCTCCCAAATGGACAGACTCAGGACTCCACCRTACTTCGGTGACCCTAGATGCTAGCAACCCTCCTGTTGCTGGAAGAGGGAGGCATTTTGGGCCAACCCATGTTGGGACCCATGGTTGGGATCAGGAGTAGGGGCATTTTCTCCAGAGAATTACTGGGTTATCCGACACAGGAAGTGAGGGCTAGTGGGTAGTTAAAGAATTAGAGAAGGCCTCAAGCTGGCTGGCCCTACTCTGACTGCAGCCTCCCACTACTTGGCTGCAAGTGCTAGAGGAGGGCAGGGGGAAGGTTTCTTTGGGGTAGGAAGACATTTATTTCTCCTAAGCATGCTCCCCACCACCACCACCACCACACACAGTCGGCATGGCCCGTGGCAGTTGAGTGGAGAAGGTGCTTTGAGGGCTGCAAGAGCTCAGGGTTTCTGTAAAGAAGAGCAGGACCTTTCCAGAGTGCAGTGGCGGAAGCTAACTTGGCAGGCCAACAGGCTGGTGGGCTGAGCCTGACTGCCTCATCCTCCCCACCAGAAGCCTCTTGGCCCTCATCTGCAGACCCTTCAGATCTCAACAGGATGGTTCCCACAGCTCCTCTGGAAGACCTTATTTTGGGGGTGAGGGGGTCCTTCTTTTCAGTGGGTGATGGAGCTCTCAATGGTGCTATCTTGTGGCCTGCTGCCCATCTGATCAGAAGTGAAGAGAAGCCTAGATTGAGCAGAAGGCTGATCTCACCAGGCAGAGGGGATGTTATGGGTCACCAGTTGGCCTCCTGYTAAGCCTGAGTCTCCAGCCCAGCTGGTTCAGCCCAAGCACTGCAGAGCAAGTCAGTGATTCGCAGAGCTGGGTTCCTTGTAGAGTCAGCTTAAAAATGTGACTGAGAGCCTCCAAATTCAGAGCCTCCAGGCCCAGACAGAGTCTAGCCTCTCAAGAAGGTGTATTTCTCTTTGTGGACATTCTCATCTGGCTTCGACCCTGGTCAGTCTTGTTGAGATCAGATCCTCCCCTTGGAGCTTCAAAGAGTTCAAGTCCAAGGACTTTGGGGTAGCTCCGAATTTATGCCTTTAGGGCTTTATTCATAAAATGTGAGTGGTAATCCTGAGAAACAGCAGGGCCAGAGCTGGGTCCTAATATCTGGGGCCAGGCTGGGCTAGAGGCTGTCGCTGCTCATTTGGGGAAGGAGTGGGTGAGCATGGCCTTCCACTATCTTCTCCCTGGGCCTCATAGTTTCACCTTCTCATTGCTTCCCCTAATCTTYCCTCCTCTCGGCTTTTATAATCACCATGTTGATTTATGGCCTACAAAATTATCACAGGTGTGCCACTTTGAGGGGAATGTGGTCAGGGAGGAGCTCTACTTCTACACCATCTCCTTGCATGACTGTGAGAAGTGTGTGAAGGAATGAGCTGGATTTATTTTGTAAGCCATACAATTCGGTGCACCTCTTGGTGGGTGTTGAGACCTCCTTCCCTCCATTTGGCTTCCCTTTCCTTAGAAAGTCCTGGGGATGTGAACCCCCTTGGCATGAGGGGATAGGGGGCTTCTGAGGACAGGAATGCCCAGGGTTTCTTGGCCCCCATTCAACAGCACAAGCCCCTATCCCAGGGGTGAGAATGGAGCCAGAGAAGAGCAAGCCTGACTTTGACTCAGTGTTCCATTCCCTGGTCCATATTGATCCAAGTCACTCAAACACCTGTTTACCTGCTACCCTCTGAGCTAGACCCAAGACAGTCTTTAAGGATTCACCACCTGGTGGAAGAAACACAAATGAATAAATTAGGATATTATTAGAGGAATAGTTCAGCAATAGTTCAGAAGAGATTATGATTGCTGGTTTGAAGAGTGGACTGAACTCCAAATCAATCAACCCAAACAGGGAAACAAATGCCAGTCCCCAGCCCCCACAACCATTATCAGCCTCTACCAMGGTGCTTGAAAGTCTCCCCATCTGGTATTGAGCAAATGAAGGCCCTATGATCCAGCAGATCATACCACACACTTGGAATYGGAAAACTTGAGTTCAGTCTAGCAAAAGCTGTTTCTTTGTTTCAATTAATTGGTTTGCTTTCTGTCTCAGATTCTGCATCTATATAATGGGGATCCTAATTCATAATATAATAACTTTGTAAGTTTATAGGAGGATTAYTCATTTACTGTTCTGCTCATTCATTCAACGCACTTGAGAGTACATGAAAGTGCCTTGCGCTCTTTAGTGTGGTATAAAATATTTATTATTTATATGAACTTCAGAAGTAGGTTTACTGAAGGGGTTTTCCAAGTTGGCATTAAACATTTGGGCCTTACTATAATTTATTTTTATGTTTTTATTATTTGTGATTGACAAAGCATAACTGTATACACTAAGGGGGGTGCAACTTGATGTTTGATACCTATACAACAAGAGGAGTGGTTACACTTATTGACTATTATGTTTTGCATCTTTTTAAAGCAACATTTTAAAAAATTTTGAACCCTTTCTTTTTAAGTTTTAAAGTTCAGAAGATCAAAGATTTGCCTCTTCAAAGACAGGGACCCCAYGCCATTTCCGTTTCCTAGAACTTGTCCCTTTCCAGGGTCCAGCAGGTTTATATTTAATAGGTTCCTTGTTCCTTTTCTCAGCCTTTAAGACCCAGGGGTGTGGACCCTGGAKTGAGGGCTTCATACACAGAGGACAGAGGCACCTCTGTGTCTGCAAGGATCTGGGCAGGATGGGGAGGAAGCTGGGATGACAGCAGGAAGCCTAACTCAAGGGAGAACACAAAACCCAGGCACAGGGCAGTATCCAGCTCACCATCAGCACTGGGGAATGGCTCTGCTCTGGGGACCAGGGGAGCCTCATGGAAGAGGTGGCATGGGGGCTGAGCCTTGGTGGCTAGAAAGTATTTCAGAGCTCTGAGATGAGGCACAGTCAGAGGTGGCTATGGGGAGAGCATGCTGAAAAGGGCTTGAAGCTTCTTAGGCAGGRAGCAGGAGCCTAGAGCAGGTGGGACTCAGAAAATCTGGGTCCCAGGGAGGAGGAGGTTGGGGGGAGGCAGKTGGTACCTGGCCAGGGACACAACACTGGTTGGGACCCAGGGTTCTAGAAGGAATAGTCAGGSAAGGCCACTGAATACTGGGCTAAGRAGCTTAGATTTRTTYATTCAAGCCCGGGGCACCCACTCTAGGCAGTAGCAGTATGATCTTTACATCAGAAAGATCATTTTCTTAGGCTGCTGGAAGGGGACAGTCTCTTAAGAGGAGACGAGGTCTGATGACAGGCAGTGAGCTTGAGCAGGTGCTGAGGCAGGGGATGGAGAGGGGAAAGTAACCAAGGGCCCCTGAACCCAGCTGAAGGCTCCCATACATGGCTTTACTGAGGTCCCAAKGCTGAAGACTCCCTGGCTGCTGGTCACTGAGGCTGGGGACTCTGAGCTGTTGGGACATGGGTGCCCCATTTTCTTGTGTGGAGAACAACAGGCTGGGCCATGTTCTTTGTCTTCAGTGTCCCTGTCCTGCTCAGAGCTCTTGAGTCTTAAGAGCTCTGAGCATTGCTGCAGTGGCCACCATGGCTGAGATCCTGCGGGGGGAGCGGGGGTGTCAGGAGTGTCATCTCTGGGCAGACAGTTGAAAGGAGAGGTGGTCACATGCCTGAACTCCAGTGGCCACTGGTCAGCCAGCTGCAGAGACTGACTCTTGTRCTGTCTTCTCTTCCTGCTGCCACCCCTCAGTCTGTAACTCCCAGCTTAACTGGGAGGTAGGTATCCCCAACACCTGTCCCTCACCTCCTCCTTCTTGGGGATCAGAAAGGAGACCCACTTGCTCAGGGTGTCCCTCCTTAGGCCATGCTTGAGTAACCTGAGACCTCTAGAAGACACTAATGGGATGGCAAGTGTGCCTTTTCKTCCATTCTGGATGTCCCTTCCCAGYRGGGCTGAGCCTCAGGCAGTGGGGGGAGTTGGAGAGAACCCACCAACCTCCCACTGAAGCACTTTGCATGGTTACAAACGGGAGTGCACCTGGAAGGCGGGCCTTGGGGAAGAAGGATGGAGACTTCCAGAAGAGGGGAGAGACTCTGAGGCTGTCTCTCAGCCAGGCCCAGAAGGCTGGAACACTTACCCACATGGCTGTGTCTGGAAGGTTTGGCTCAGGAGATGCCATGTGTCGCATCATCTCCAGGAGCTTTGGCCTGGCATGATTTCAAAAAGGTGCTGACGGAGGCACACTAAACTCCTTTCAAGAATAAATCTTGCCTGGGCAAAGCCAGGACCGAGGGGGAGAAAACAGGCAGGGAGCTCAGTGGTAGCCAGGTGGGTTCTGGGAGTGGGTGGGCTGGGCCTGTAGGCTGGCCCTGCATGACTGCCCTTAGGCCCTGAGCTTCACCTGGTTGACATTCAGGGACAGATCTGAKCTCTCAAATGTGGGGAAGCAGAGCCTCGGTCTTGGCAAGCAGCAGGGAGGAAACGAGATGGTGCCGGTGAAGTACACAACCCATGTAGCCTATTTATTAATGCTGCAAGGGCTTCATAAGTGATGGCATTGAGAAATAAAGCGGTTGCTAACRGCAGTCTTAGCTGAGATCAGCTTCAAGCTAGAGTGGGATATCGGGCCCAATCTCAGGGAGCAGGGGGCTAACAAGGAGATTGCCTGCTACTTGAGACTGATTCTGCCGGTGACAGAGCTGCTATAGGCCTGTCCTCCAATGCTCCTTGTTTGCCTTTTTTTTTTTTTGGTACTGGGGACTGAACTCAGGGGCACTCGACCACTGAGCCACATCCCCAGCCCTATTTTGTATTTTATTTAGAGACAAGGTCTCACTGAATCACTTAGCATCTCACCATTGCTGGGGCTGGCTTTGAACTCGTGATCCTCCTGTCTCAGCCTCCTGAGCCACTGAGATTGCAGGCATGTGCCACCAAGCCTGGCCTTGTTCACCTCTTTTGCATTYRTAACCAGAGCATTRCATAGTCTGTAGGTAACAGAAGTGTCACATCCACTCCCCTCCTTCAGTCCCATAGCAATACCCCATTGAACAAATGAGAAGCCTGAGGCCCTGTCCTGGGTAGATGTGCTCCCCCGGAGGGCCTGCTGGCTCTGGGATGCACTGGGCACCGCCGATAGCCTCCCAGGCCCGATGCAGACCGGCAGTGGCCAGACACTTGCCCAGGTATCTGCTGGTTTCACTGTGGCTYACCTGTGAGCCCCCKCTTTGGAAGTAAGTCACTCAACCAMCATTTACCATCACTGCCCTGCTAGCTGTGAGTTGGGGTTTGGGGGTGTGGAGGTCTATTAGGCATGATCCGTGTCCGAAGGGGCTGTATCCCTGTGGAGAGGTGAGCGTGGCAGAGTGAGGGACCATTGGCAAATATTGTTRGTCAAGGATGGCTGAAGTCTGGGGTAAGGGAACAAGCTTCTGATGCTTTTGGCAGAACATCTTCATAGCCCACCTTTAGCAAGCACCCTGTCCACCTCATAGTGCCCAGAAGCCTCTTCCCCAGGCCAGGGAGAGACCCTGTGAGGTGGGGGAGTGCCAGGGAAGGCATTGTAGGGTCTTGGGGAACTGAGTGAGRGTGAATCCTGATTAGTTCTGGGGCCCCACAGCACCCCGGTCCTACTTAGTGCCCTGTATCCAAATCCTACCTCTAAAATGCACGTGCAGTTCATGCCGTACCTGGCCTTCAGAATTTGAATCGTAGAGCCATTGCCCACTTTTCTGCTCCATCGCCCCAGGAACTTCCTCTCCACGCACAGCCAAGGTACCACCTCTAGCCTTTTATTTTAGTTGTGTGGGATTTTTCAGTGATCCCAACCTCYTTTCACCAGAACCTTTTGCAAACACATCTGGAAAGCCCTGTCTGTGGCATTATATCGGATAAAAGGCTCAGGTACTCTAGTTCATATGCATGTGACCTCAACTCTGCAAAGTGGCRTCCTTTGATGACCCACGCAACATTCCATCTCTCCCACCTTTTCAGCCTTCATCTCTGGCTCTGGGTAGGTGGAATGTGAGCTTAGACTGCTCCAGGATCCTACAGGAACAGGTTTCTGGTAGTCTCTCCATTCATCTGGCTTCTTAGTATAAAAATTTTATTCATAAACAGGATCACTGAGCAGTTACACTGTGCCAGGCTTCTGGCTGGGGACCAGAGTTACAAAAAATAAATAGGAGATGGCTTTCCATCACTGAGGTTGATGGAAAAACACAGGAACAATGCTAATTGTCACAGGATGGTGAGTACTGGGATAGGGGTCAGCACAGGCTGTGAGAAGACCAAAGAAACTCTACCGGTAGGTGGGTGATGCGCAGGGAAAGCTGCTTGGAGGAGGTGACTTCTGGGCTGATCCCTGGGAAAATGCAGGGATTCTCCAGACATCGAGGGAAGAGAAAACAGGCGGCATGTGCAAAGGCACTGGGGCTCGGTGTGCTGTGGCTACTGAGGCTCTGCTGGAAGGTGATTGTGTGTGTGTGTGTGTGTGTGTGTGTGTGTGTGTGTGTGTGTGTGTGAGAGAGAGAGAGAGAGAGAGAGAGAGAGAGAGAGAGAGATGGGGAAGCGGAAGTGGAAGAAAAAGGCTTGGCAGAAGATGAGGCTGGACAGGCTGGATCATGAAGGGGGCCTTGTATGTCATGCTAAGGAGCTTGGAGTTTATCCCCAAAGCCTCTGGGAGCTATTGAAAGGGGTTTTAAACAGGGGAGTGCCATGATGAGATTTGCGAGTTAGGAGGATCACCCTGGCGGCCTTGTGGAAGATGGATTGGAGGGGCCAAAGCTGGAGGCAGAGAGATCAGTCAGGATTTGGGGGGATTTTCTCTCTGGTTTTACAAATYTGACGAGAGAGACTGGGTGGGGTGGGCCTGGCAGACGCACCAGCTTACAGAGAAAGGAAAGGCTCCSGGGCCATGGGAATGGTTTCCTGACTCAGGGTGATCCCACCTCCATTTGCTGATTACCCCGATCTGGCGGCCCTCACCATTCCATCAGGAAGGGCCAGGCTGGTCTGGGCCCCTTTGAAGTTTCCCTGAGCCCCCAGCCTCCCGGGGGGCCTGGAATGCAGGCCTTGGAGCCCAGACAATGTCTCTCTGCTCACRCCGGCTGACTGTCCCAGGCACACAGATAGGCCATTGAGGGGCCCTGGCGGACCTGGCAGGAGTCCCAGGCCATGTTAGTTATGGGCAGTGGCTTAGTCAGGCTTCTGGGGGCCTTTCTTCTGGGACAAGCCTGTCCTTGTGCTAAGGGCCTTCCTCACACGCAGCCCAGCCTGGCTGGGCAGCTGCAGAGCCCTCGGCCAACCCTAACAGAGCACTTCAGAGGAACCGCCGAGGGAATCAAAGCCCTTCGGGAGTGCCCGCGTCCCTGGGAGTGGAAGGCACCATGGAGGGCTGCTCAATGGCCCCTCCACCTTCTCCACACCCCGTGCCCTGGCCTCTGGTGCTGTCCCCGCCCTTTGGCCCTGGAAGGAAGCCAAYTGAAACACACTCCCTCCCCTGGGCCCCCTTCTTTGTGAAAGGCAGTGACCAGCTCGGCAGGAGCTCTTCCAGAACATAGTTCACAGTCCCATCGTACCCCTGGAAGTCAGCTGAATGCATGCATGTATCGAGTACCTGCTGTATGCACCTACCCAGGCTAGGTGCACTTTATATGACGGTGACTCATCACAGGTTGGACGGTGTAGTAGTTGAGGGGATAGGATCTGAATAGAGACTGATCAAAGGCTTGGCGCTTGTGTTTGCCGACTGTGTGACTTTAGGAAAATTGCTCTGCTCTATTTGCCCATTTCCTCACCTGTAAAGTGAGGATGTTACAATATCCCCTCTATTGGATGGATGCAAGGTTAAATGAGATAATGCACAATGAATTTTGCCGAGTGCTTGGCACGTAAGGACTCAGTAAAAAGCYGCTGTTGTGTTTCCTCCTGCTGTTTATTGCTACTGCTGTTATCTCTGGATCTTCACTGCTCCTCAAGAGCAGAGTGTATCCCCATTTCACAGAGGAAGAAGCTGAGACCCAGAGAGGTTAAGCAATCACACAGCTGGCCAATGGCAGAGCTGAGGTCTGAACCCCTSTGTCCAGGGTTTCTGCCATACCCATAGCCCTTTTGATAAGTCAATCCCAGGGTTGGGAGTATCCTGGACCCCAGGGAAGGTGGTGGCAGATCCTCCTATTGTATCTAAGTGCCCTTTCTCCATTTTTCCAGGTTTCCAAGCCAGGAGAGGAGGGTTGGTAGCGCTCAGCGATGGGGAAGATGGTGCCATCCGCACAGAAGCTGCAGCCTCGGSGCCCTGTGGCTGCTGGAGATAAGTGATGGCGCCATTTGAACACCTGCTGGAAACGGTGCAGAAACCGTAGCCCCAGGAGAGCACGGGCAGGTGCTGAGGGGCAGGTGCTGAGAGCCAGGATGCGAGGATGACGCCTCCGGAGGCTCCAGCCTCCCTCCTGCCCGCGCGCTAGGAGCCGTCCCCAGGCCCCAACCGGGAGCCCAGCTGCCCAGGGGCATGGCCAAACCTTTCTTCCGACTCCAGAAGTTTCTCCGCAGAACGCAGTTCCTGCTCTTCTTCCTCACGGCCGCCTACTTGATGACCGGCAGCCTGCTGCTCCTGCAGCGGGCCCGAGTGGCCCTCCCCCCGGGCCCCCGGGCGCCCGGCACCCTGCAGGCCCTGCCGGTGGCCACCGTGGCGCTGAGCGTGGGCCTGCCCGACGGCAGAGCCCTGCGYGATCCCCGTGTCAGCCCGGATCCGCTGCTCCACGAGGACGCGCTGCGGAGTCCCCTGGCTMGGTCGCCGCCGGTCCCCCTGCGCTGGCCCCGGAGGAACCGCAACACSGAGCTGCGCCAGCTGCGGCGCCGCTGGTTTCACCACCAGGGGTCGCCCACCCTGGGCCCCGAGGCCCCCAGGCCGGCCGCGCTCAGCAGAGGTAGGTGCTCAGCTGAGAATCTTGGGGGGCCGCTCCCAGGAGCCCTGCTCTGTTCCCTTTCTCTGTTGCTAAGGCAGCTGGAGAAATAGGTCCTACCGGCTTATGGGCTTCCCAGATCCCTCCTTTACTCCCGCAGAGCCCGAGACAGAGAGGAGCTGTGATGTGAAGTCCTTTAGCATTTCGCTCACTCACCAGCAGGGATTTCATAGGGCTCAAGGTCGAGATGGGTGAACCCAAAGCTCCAACTCTCGGTTCAGAATAACTTTCTCTATTGGCTCAGTTGTACCTTGCTGGGTGACCTTGGGCAGATCAACTTAACTTCTCTGGATCCCCCTTGAAATGGAGATAGACACCCACCCCAGGTTTATTGTGAGGATTGCGCCTGTTAGTATAGAGCAGCAGGTCCCACGCCTGCAGCACCAGGCACCTGGAAATCTGTTCCCAGTGCAGATGCTCAGGTATTCCCACACTCAGTGAGGCGGGCCATCCATGTATCAGCACTCTCTCTCTCTCTCTGGGGTCATTTTGATGCAGGCTTCAGCCAAGAGCCACTAAGAGAGGGGGCTCAGTATATCCTTTGGCCCTCTCACTCGCAGCTTTTGCTATTTAGTAAAACTAATTTATATAGTGTTTCCTGTGCATCTGTATATCTACTAGGTATAGATACTAGAATTATCTCCAAATGTTCTGATKAAGAAATTGAGGCACAGGGAAGTTCATTAAGTCACCAAGGTCATCCTCTTTGCTTGGGTTCCCTGGAAGCAAACCCTGAGACCAGGATTCAGATGCACACAGTAGATTTGGGGTGTGATCCCAGCAAACACTAGTGGGAGAGTGGGAAAGAGACCAAGAAGAGAAGCAGCCATAAAGGTACATTACTGAGYAGGTTACTACTGGGCAACCAGAGCTTGACCAGCTCAGAAGGGTCTGGAGTCAGAATAGATCACACAGCTCATGGTGACCTGGAAGCAGCAGGCCTGAGAGACAGGGGAGGCACARCAGGATTGGTCATGGTTACAAGGCTGGGTTTCCCACCTGGAGACACTGAGTTATGCAGATTGTCTGTGCAGGGCTCAGTCAATTGTTGGGTGCTTGGTGAGTACCCAGTAAGTGCTGAAGTTGCTCTTGAATGGTGACTGGGCTCAGTCAGTTCCTCAGCATTCCTGTCACCTCCTCRTTTGGTCCTGTGCCCTAAGTCACAAGAAGAACTGCTTTCTTGACTGTAAAAGGTGTAGTTGGAACATTGGGTCCTATATGGAAGCGTGTAGAAGGAGATAGGTCAGGGTGGGCACCAAATCTGAGTTAGGAGAGCTATGAGTGCCAGGCCTTGGAGTTAAGCTGTATTCTTGTGTGTGTGGGTGGGGGTGGTGGTGCTGGGATCTGAGGATGGTGAGAAGAGTCCAAGGAAGAGAAAGGGGTCCAAGGGAAGGAAAGGAGCCCAAGCTTCTCTTGCCTTAGGAAGATGATTCTGGTAGCCCCAAAGAATGAAAACTAGAGGAAAGAAGTTTTCTCAGAAATCATCTAGTTCCTAGTCCTTGCTATAGGATTTCTTCACATTAGAAGAAAGAAATAGCTGATGGTTTCTCATTAGCTTATTTTGCACAGGTGTGCTTTCTGTAAACTCACCCAAACACACCAAGAAACTGTCTCTATGCAGTTTTCACTGATGCAAATTGTTTAGACTAAGGTGTAAATGACCCACAGAAGGCAACATARACTTCTTGAGAGGAAGTCATGATAAAAGCACAAGTTTTTTTTTTTTTTTGAGAGAGAGAGAGAATTTTTTTAAAAAATATTTATTTTTTAGTTTTCGGCAGACACATCTTTGTATGTGGTGCTGAGGATCGAACCCGGGCCTCATGCATTCCAGGCGAGCGCGTTACTGCTTGAGCCACAYCCCCAGCCCCAAGAGCACAAGTTATGAAAATAGACCTGGGTTCCTTTCTTGGTATTGCCATCTAYTGACCCTGCAAATTGGCCTTAATTCCTCTTTTCATTTCTCACTGTTCTCACTGAGGATCTGCTATATGGATCTACACATGTGTTTGTTTGTTTTTTTAAAGAGAGAGAGAGAATTTTTTGATATTTGTTTTTCAGTTTTCGGTGGTCACAACATCTTTTTTATTTTATGTGGTGCTGAGGATCGAACCCAGTGCCCCGTGCATGCCAGGCGAGCGTGTTACCGCTTGAGCCACATGCCGAGCCCTACACATGTGTTTTTCACTGTGCCCTTGAGAGGCCAGTCTGGTGGTGGAATCAGACTTGTGCCCAAGTGATTACTGCACAGCATGACCCAGGTACGATAGAGGCATGGCAAAGGGCTTGCAGACTCATTAGACAAAAGTGACCTCTATCCTGGTGTGGTGGCATACAACTGGAATCCTAGTAACTAAGGGAGGCTGAGGCAGAAGGATCACAAGTTCAAAGCCAGCTTCAGCAACTTAACCAGAGCCTGTCTCAAAAAAAAAAAAAAAAAAAGGTCTGAGAATGTGGCTCAGTGGTTAAATGCCCCTGGGTTTAATTCCTGGTGCATATTGACCATCAGAAAAGAGGGCTCAGGATGACCAGCTGTGACCCTGGGTATAGAATATGTATATTCAAGAGAACCAATAAGCATCCTTTAACTTACTTCTAGTAATAAAAGCTGAAGAAATTGTGGCTAGATATAAGCAGGACTGATATTCAACTGTTATCTAACAGCATGGTCTTATTGAGAGCTAAAAAAAAATTGAAATACTTCCATACCTATTGATAGTTACTGCCCAGAGCCTCTGGGGTGCCCTCTGTACTCTGGCTGCCTCCCCAGTGACCATCAAACCTCCTCATTATTCAGCAAAGAAAGGATTAATTCCTGGGACCACAGGGGGTATTCGGAATCCAGTTCCAGCAGGATGGTGACAATTTTGAATGGTCTGCCCCGCACCATGGGTTGTTAAATATTTTGAATATGCCCCACAGTTTCAGGACGAATTTGCTCTCCCTGCAGAATAACAAAATCGTCTCTGTTGTCCCTTGGCGGGAGGTCTTCAGTAAAAGCAGGGGAAGCCAGGGCACTGGCCCCAAGGCTCTCTGGGAGCCCCCCTGCTCCTTTCCCGTTGTAGGGCTCGGGAGGGCCTGCAGAGCCAGGCGGGCCTCACTCATGGAGAGTGRCCACAGTGCAGCCCTCTGGACAGCTGCTGGGGCCACAGACAAAGCAAGCATCTCTTTGCGGCCTGGGCATCCCGCCATCCTCCTGAAAGGGGATCCTGCAAGGCGCGGAAGCTGCAGGAGGCTCCATCAATCACTGAGCATTTCATTATACCTTGGACAACATCCATAATGGAATAAAATGTCAGTAAGTTTACTGGGGGAAAAAATAGTAACTTCTCCATAGCCAGTTTGTTTTTTATTGATAGTAATTTCCAAAGACATTCCAATATCTCCAAAGCCATCGTTAATAGCCTCACGGCTTGTCCATTTTGATGTGCAAATGAACAGATGCAGAGTCACAGACAATAATGCATCGCCTCCATTTCAGCCGAAAGTAATAAATCCGCGGCAGGATGGGTCCCAGCGCATCCCTCGAAAGTTCTCTTCTTTCCTGCACATTCTTGCCTCTGTCGGCGAGTTAGAGGAAAACATTTGTGGTGTTTCGGGGATGAAAGAGCTCACCTACTCTTCACAAACCAGAGTGGCCATCTGCATCTGAGGCCSGGGCTTCCTCTCCACGTTGATCAGGTCCATAACCGGCCAGCTGGTAACTGCTAGCCACTCCTTGTTTGAAGAAGAACTGGAGTCTGACTGCTGGGAACCAGATTTTCCCCCCTCCTCTTTTAATGGCATGCTCATTATTTGGCTAATATTTACGGATCCATTGTCACGTTAGGTCCCAGGTTAGAGGGGAGGATCAGAATGATAATAGCTGTTGCTTACTTGAACATCTGTCAAGTACCAGGCACAGCTCTATACAGGCATACATCTGTTTTCTCATTTAATTTAATCATAGCCTTCTGATGGTGCCCTCACCGTTTTCATGGCAAAGAATATGAGTTTCAGGAAAGTAAAGTCATTGAGAAATTTTGATTATTAATAATGATCTAGAAACCTGGGTAGTTCAGGCCTTACATTTGACCATTCATATGTGTTATCTTCTGCAGTCTTCAAAACCAGCCTGTGGAATTGGCACCCCATGCCTATTTTACAGATGGGAAAGCTGAGATTCAGAGAGGGGAAGCTGCACATCCCAGGTCACACAGCCAGGTACTGGTGGAGCAGGGATTTGAACCTAAGTCAACCCGTTGCCCAAGGCTGTTTCCATCCGGTTGCCCAGAAACCTTGGAACCTCAGCCTTGGAAAGTCTTGAGACGGGCCACTTTTAAAACCTTGTGGCTAATGTCCCAGCTGCAGTGATAAATGTTTAACATTCCCTGAGCTCATGTTTTGGATTTTTAATTGAAAGCTTTAATGGACATTTTTCTTTGCTGGGCAACACATCAAAATTTCTCAGATACGAGCTTTCTTTTGCTAAGTAGGTGGGCAGAGGAGGGAAATTCATGYGCACTGTCCTGGGAGAAAGTTCTCTGCAGTGAAGCATGATGGTTGCAATCGTCCTGAGGCTGATAGGACAGAGAAGCTTGTGGGGCCTGGGTCTCAGGAAAGCAGGCAGTGCCCGGTGCCAGGGGATGGCCTGCTTGGAGTGACCGTGGGAGGCTCCTGGCTTGGAAGATGGCCAGACACTTTGGCAGACATTGAAGATGGCTGTCAGCTTCTTCCTCAGCCCTGTGTCCTCTGACCCTAAGGCTCTTTGATCCTGGCATGGTGAGGAGTGCAGTCTACTCTCGCTTTGGTCATTCTCTGCTTCCTATCTCTTAAACTAGAGCCTCAAGAATTGCACCTTGGTGCCGTCAGCAGGACCATCCCTCCCTGGATCTSAGCTGTCAGCTCCTGTTCTTGCACCCATAGGGAACATACGTGGGTTTTTAGGAGCCGTAATCCACTGTTCAGAATTGGGTGTTGACGTTGATGCTGGGCCTAACCTGCTGAGTCAGGGTGGGTCACCAGCGGGGTAAAGGTCTGGCCCCAGCCCTCCAGGAGAGCTGTCTCAGTAGAGACAAGACCCACAGACTTCCAAGATGGTGAAGGGCAACAGTTAATGATAAGAACTTGGCTAACCAATGAGTTTTCCAGGTATAACTTGTAAGAATCCTAAGAAGAGACATGTTGCAGTGGGCTGGAGTGGACAGGTGTGTGACCTTGGTCTTCAGGACAAGCAGGGAGAACAGGGTGGATGTGTCAGGGGAGCAGCAATGGAGTGGGGCAGGAGAAATGAGCTTGAACAAGGGGAGGCGGCGAGGGTGGGTGTCTATCCATTTGACAGTTGGGGAAACTGAGGCCCAGTTGAAGTGTTTCAGCCAGATCAGAGATGGACAGAAAAGCCACTTTGGGCTTCAGGCCTCAAGCATGAGGTTGGTGGACCCATTTCTCCAGATCACTTAGCACAGGGCTCCTGAGTCCCTGCTTTGGACTAGCTCCTTGGCCAAGAATAAAAATGAGTCTCTCCTGCTCTCGGGGAGCCCGTGAAGCAGTAGACCATCAGGACTTTCCATCAGGAAGCCAGCAGGCTGCTGAGAGGCCTTGGGTGTGCAGCTTCCGGAGAGCCTCATTCCCCTGGAGGTGGTGGTGCCCGCTGCCAGTGGCACGGGAGAGGAGCAGGATGCAGGGAGAGGTGCAGCTTCTTTATCACAGGTGCCCCATCCAGATCTCAGCACAGCTATTGTGGGTGTGCATTCACAGCTTGGGGACCGTGCGATGGCGTGTTTGCAAACTCCCAGCAYTCTGTTCCTTCAAAACACGGTGGTGTGCGTGACATTTACCTGCCCAGTGCCACGTTTGCATGGTGTTTGTGATCACTGTGTTGCTCTGTGCATCTCTGGGAGCTTCTCCTTCCCTCAGGGGAACAGAATAGGCTGTCACAGACTCCCACCCACCAGTGGAGCTGTCCCCCAGTGTCCCCTCATGGAGCTGTCCCCTAGTGTCCCCTCATGGAGCTGTCCCCCAGTGTCCCCATCCAGGGATGTGCTGGAGTGACCAGAGAAGGCTCCGTGGTCAGTTGGTCCCATTGATTGCCACACAGGACACCTATCTTATTACCCCCTTAACAGACGCTGCTTGCACCAGCAGAGGACAGTGGATTTTTTTTTTTTTTAATTTCTTGGCCTGTTGGAAAGCTCTTCCTTATGTAACCTGACATCAGATTTTCCAGGAGTCCTGTCTTCTYTCTGGCCTCACATGGAAGCAGCAAAACTTTCTCTTGAGACCTTGTGGAGGCAGAGGGGCCTCACTGAGCCTAGAGAGATTAAGGAGGAGGAGGAGGGGGTGGTGGCCATGGGAGGTCATTAAACTATCCAGTTACATTGCAAGTCAATAATTTTTAAAAAGTTTAATGAGATGGAAATGCCCACTACCCTGATTTATACGATACGTCCTATATGTCTATTGAATTATCACGCTATAATGTATAATTAAAATCATAATAATGAATAAAAACAAATCCACATGTGGGTAGTGGAGAAAGCAGTACTCAGCATGAGCCGAGCTCATCACAGGGCTGCCCTGGTGGACAGTGGGCCGTTTACTAAAAAGGGGCAGGCAGTGAACAAGCTGGAGCTGTCCAGATGCCCACTTGGCTCCTGCACTGAGCGGGCATTGAGCTGCAGCCCTCATCCTCCGCTCTTCCCTGGAGAGGTGACTGAGCCAGGCAGGGCTGGAGACTCCCTGGCTTTTCCTAAGCCTGAGCCCCACGGTTTGGACCCCTCCCTCCCTGATCTTATCCTCCCTCCCACAGGAACCTACCTTGGCTGCTTCCGTGACGAAGGCCAGGAGAGAACTCTGAAGGGGGTAGTGTTTTATGACTTGAGGAAGATGACCGTCACCCACTGCCAGGACGCATGCGCTGAGCGGTAAGTGCTGGGACCCCGTGCTATTGAGTCCCCTGGAGATAAGGTCAGAAAAGAGTCCCAGAAGAGTGATGCTATGGCTACCAATATATTTAGGCCTCAATCGATGAGATCAGATCCCCATCATCCAGAAGAAAGGTGCAGGAGGGCCAGTGTCCAGAGACCTGGTTTCTAATCCAGCTGTGCCAGGGACTTGCTGTGTGACTTTGGTGAGATTTTTTTTTTTTCGTTCCATGAGCCTCCGTTTACCCACCTTTTAAAAATAAAATGAGACGTTTTAATCTAGATTTCTCCAAGGACCTTTCCAGCTCCATTAGCAAAAGTGTTTCTATTTGCATTTATAACAAGTTTTGCTTTTTCAGATACTGCTAGCTCTCTTAATAGTTAGCAGACATTTGTCATGTCCCAAGCAAGGGTCCACTGTGCATGTGTTCATGTGCACGGGTAGAGGACAGGCAAGACAGCATGAGAGGACACTGTCATCTATTTCTATCACCTTAGATCCTCTTACAATTTTGATGTCACACAGAGTCCCACAATGCTCTGTTAGGTAGCAAATTAATTTGTCCCCTTTTTCACATGGAGATACTGAGGCTGAGTAAAGGCAGGACAAGACCCTCCTGCATTGCATGCACTTTGCAGCTTAGATAAAGCTGAAACTGAAGATGGCAGCATCTCATTTTAGTTTCTTAACAATGAAAGAAACTGAGACTTGGAGGTAGGAAGTGATGTTCAGCATCTCAGAGCTACTAAGTGGCCAAACGAGAACTAGATGCTTCTGTCTGGATTTTTAGTCTGGGGCTTTTTTTATACCAGGATCCACTGAGAGGGGAGTTTGAAAACATGACCACTTTCGGTAGTTGCAATCCCATGTGAAACTTTTAATACATTCCATTTCCCATCTCTTTTTGTTTACAGCTGCAATTACAACGGGGAGAAAGTAGGTAGAGAAATGACCGGAGCCAAGGGCTGGGCAGACGGCCCCTTTATAATATGACAAGCGGCAGGTGCTTTGGGCCTGGGACACACTTAAAGTTTTTGAGTTGTGCAACTGTAACATTGCTAGCTTGACATTGTCTTCAGTGAGAGTATTTACACCACAGAAAAGGGCAAGCACTCCATATCAGGGCTCTCTCTGTTCCCTGCTGAGAACTGGGTTYCCAGCCCTTGGCTGATCCAGCCCCATGTATCTTATAACATGAGGTCACTAAAGCTCAGAGCTGAGGTCAGAACAATGGGGCTAATCACTTATTACAAAGGGAAAATGGTCCCCCAGACTTACCTAGATGACTTTTAATTCTGGATGAAGACTGACTCCTAAGGCTAGCCACAGGCTRTGGGCCATCCCCCCTGCCTCCTCACCCAGACCTAACCTCGGCTTCACGTCCAACCCTTATCCTGGCCCAAGGCCCAGCTGTGGATGCCTGACCTGGACCTTTCTGCAGTTAGGGCTCTGAGCCAAGGTCTGGACTCACCCAGTCTCCGTCTCCCTGCAGGTCCTACGTCTACGCAGGCTTGGAGGCCGGTGCGGACTGCTACTGYGGGAACCGGCTGCCAGCCCTGCGCGTCGGGCTAACGGAGTGCAACCAGGAGTGCAAGGGGGAGAAGGGCACCGTGTGCGGGGCTGTGGACCGGCTCTCYGTGTATCGTGTGGACGCATTGCTGTCCAGCTCCAGGAAGCGTGAGTGTGCCCGCCTCTCCCTGAACTGTGCATGTCCCAYGTGCTCCAGCTATCCCCTACCTGAAGCCTCTCAACCTCACTATGTGGGACAGATCCTGTGTCCTCCCTTYTCTCTCATCTTCATTATATGGTGCTATGTCATGGTAGGTGTCAGGGCCCATTGAAGACTCAACTGCTTGACTTTCGTGACTGAGACATGCCTTGCAGGAGGGAAGGATAAGGAGGCCTAGATATGCCTCACACATGCTGTGTGACYTTAGACAGCCCCCTTACCCTCACTTGGTTCTATCTATTTTGTAAACTGCCACTGAGGAGACTGAGATTTCTAGTAATAGGAAGAACAGAGAATMTCAAAATTCCCTAGCTAGAAAACATTTGGAAATGTTGGGTAAAGTTAGCCAATATCATTTTAAATGGACAGCTTCACTAGCAGGAAAGTAAGACAATCCATGGGTCCACAAAGAAGAGGAAATGAAGAACCACGGTGGTCGGAGGAGGGGATGATGTTGTGCAGCCCTGGGTCTCAGGGCCCTGGGTCATCAGTCTTGGTAAACCTTAGGCCTAGGTTTTTCCTGCTTAAGCAGAGCAGGAAATGAGGMCTTGGGCCTATCATTCAACAGGGAAGTGGATTAAAACCTCTGCATCAAGTGGAACTCAATTTCACTGAAGTATAAACCAGTGGAAATTTCGATGAAAAAATAATTAATAATAAGTCACCCACCAGTTCAGGGAGATAGAAAGGAGGCTTCTCTATTTTATTTGAACTTCAGTTGAAATTCAACTTTTTCTACAAATTAGTCCTTATACATTTTTACAAGTTCTGGGATTCAAATTTATACTGTGTGTTCCTAAAAATTCTAAAAGTTGGTTCTGGGATGCATGGAGTATCTGGGAGAGACAAATGCAAAAGAGAGAGAGAGAGAGAGAGAGAGAGAGAGAGAGAGAGAGCGAGCGAGCTGGACCATCACTCAGAATTCCCACAGGTAAATTCTCACTGAAGATGAATTTACAATTCAAAATTACAGAACTCAAGAGAAAATAATCAACCATAAGGTAGAATAAGCTGATAACTCCAAACAAGAATTTCAAGGAGAGTGCTGTCAATTAGAGATGACACCTGAGGGGCCCCAATTAGATAAATTTGAAACTCAAGGTTGTCCTTATTACAAGATGATGGGCCTCAGATTTACTTAACCAGATTACAAAAGGTTCCTCTATAAAATATAACAGGGTTGTGCACATTCACATGTGCTGGGGGTGATTCTTTTTTTTTTTTTTTTTTTTTTGGTACCAGGGATTGAACTCAGGAGCACTCAACCACTGAGCCACACACATCCCCAGCCCTATTTGGTATTTTATTTAGAGACGGGGTCTCACTGAGTTGCTTAGGGCCTCACTAAGTTGCTGAGGCTGGCTTTGAACTTGCGATCTTCCTGCCTCAGCCTCCTGAGCCGCTGGGATGACAGGCKTGTTCCACCGCACCTGGCTCTGGGAGTCATTCTTCCTGTGACTGGAAGGGCCAGGCCGGRAAGAAGTGAGCCTCTCCCACAGCATGGACGGAGACTTACGTTACCACTGGTCAGGGTGGAACTACAGATCATGGTGGCACAACCCAGCATCCAGACATGGTCTGCTTCTGTCCATGGTCTTGCCTCTGTCCATGGTTCCATGAGGTCGATGGATCAGTCCAGGAATGGACAGAACTCAGGAAAGGAGGTGTCAAGTCAAACTCTAAGTCTGTGGAGGGGTTACTGGGAGGATTCTCTAGCAACAATTGAGTTTTCCAAGCAATTCAGATGCCCATCACTGAGAACCACAGTGCACCTAAAGGTCAGCCCTGGCCACCTTGTATGGATCAGAGTGTAGGGACAGCAGCCCAGTGTTTGTCCCTGACAGCTGGGGATACTCAGGTGCTCCTTGCATTCAGACAGGACATGTCTGGAAGCCAGGAGGGCCAGACAAAGCCATGGGCACAGGATGGGGAAACTGACAACATGCTCTTCAGCTTCAGGGTCCAGCAAAGAGGCCATTACCTCCACAGGTGCTTACTGCCACCTACCCTGCTCCAGGCCTTGACCTGGCACAGAGGTTTGCCGTCACCTGGACAGCCACATGGGCTCCCTGAGGACTAGGCTGCCCGAGGCTGGTTTCTTGGATCTTTTATTTCTTTGGATTCAAACGTTAGCCTGACCCCTTACCCTTCACCTCTGACCCCCAGCAGGACCAGGCCTGTACGTGGACTCTAGGATGTGCCACCCACTCTCCTCTCTGCTGTCACTGACTCTCAGAGACAGGTGTTGTACTTCTCTTGTCCACTGGCTAAGGGGCAGATGGCCCCGTCATTTGGGCCAGCCCCAGACCTCAAGTCTGCCAGACCTGCTGTCATGGTTCATGTGGAAAATGGTGTCCACACCTCCCCTTCGGGCAGGCTGTGAAGCCCTGTGTGGTTGACCCTTGCCTTCCCGCTCCCTTCTCAAGAGGACAGGCTGACAGGATCTCTCTCATAGGTGACCAGGTGACCCCCCCCCATTGTAACTTGCAGCAGTTTCTGGCTAACAAGACTCATGGACCAGCTTCCAGGTCAGACTCAGGGTTCAGTCCTGAGAGCTCCTTAATGACTTCCCCTTGATGGCCCTTGGGGTCTCACCTGGAGAGCAAAGGGAGAAGCTGTGGAACAGGCAGCTCTAGGCAATGACCTGACTGCTCACAGTCGCATCTGGGGTACCTGGGGACAGCTGGTCTGACCCCCTCCGGCAGCCCATGTGTTGTTCTCCTGTCACAGTCGATGCCGTCCCCTCATGTACCTTGTCTGCTCAGCTCTTCCTGGGAGCCTGCTCTGTCAGGGTCAGCTGGCTGAAGGCCACTCAGGATGCCAGATGCAGATGCCCTTTGCTTCCCTCTCTGTGACCTGGGGACTCTCTAGGATGCWGGTCACTCTATCCTCTCTCTGTTTTCCTGTCCTACTGACATTCCCCTTGCCTTGTCCCTGTGCCACCCTGTGCATCTACAGGTTGGTTCCTTGGGGACCAGCCATGCCACAGGACAGTCTTGTGGGTCCCGTGTATGTCCTCACCCTCTGCTTGGACACACCCAGGGCAGGTACGTGGGTGTGGGTGTGGGAAGATCCAAGTTGGCCATGTGGTGCACTGTGCTCCTCATAGCCAGCCCCAGCTTGGTAGGAGAAAACAGAGTCTCTGAGCCGGTGACACAGGAGGGTTGCAGAGCTAGTCAGGAGCAGTGACTGCCCATGAACCCAGGCCTTGGGGACTCTGAGTCCCTCTGTTTTCTCTGCAACAGGCTGCTTTCCTGCATTCGTGCCTGACTAGGTCTAAGTCCTGACTTTCCAACCACGGGTGCTATGGTCAGCCAGGATGGGCTTCCAGATCCAGGGTTTGATCCTGCTTCGGCAGTTTTGCACGGAAAGTGCTCTCTGCCATGGTCAATGCCAGYGAAAGGGATGCTGATGCTGGTCAGGAGGTGTGACGGGCAGAGCCGCCTGGTAGAGAGACTGAGCCCTGGGAGACCTTTTGTTCAAGGGAGTGTGGGATGAGAAACAGGATGTTTCCTAGAGAAACTCGGATGAGTTTGGAAGAAATAAGAACAGTTGGTGCCGGAACATTCCAGAAGGTTTGTTCAGCACCAAGGGAGCCAACGAGGGAGCTGGGCTTTTCCACCAGAAGGTCTAGAGAACAACTTGGCAGGAAGCTTCCTTGGTGACACAGGTGTCAGGAGTATTCCTAGAATTCGGGTGGGAGTTCAAGATCAGAGGGAGGCAAAACTTGCTCAGAAGCAGAGCAGCCTTGTGGTCCCAGCAGCACAGCAGGATTGCGAACTTCCAAGTCTACTTTTCTTTTTAATGCCTATATTCAGAGGGCATAGAGTTTTCCAGAATATCAGCTTCTCAGGTCACCTGTCATGGACTCCGACACATAGTAATTGCCCAACCCAGGAAAGAAAGGAGAGAAGAAAGGAAAGACAGATGGACACCATCTGCAGAGATCTGGTAGAAGCAAACCCTGAGCTTAGCAATTTCAGCCAAATGGTCCCTTGTCAGTGACCCTGGACGACCAAGGTCCTATGCCTGGTTTCCTTCAGGATCTTGACTGCACCCTCTCCAGGACTGTCTCTCTGCCTGACTTGAGTTCTGCCCCCTCCTGAGCATGTCTACACCTTTCTCAAGATCCAAAGTCAACATTTGCCCTTGTGACAGGCACCAGCACCCGTGGACACCATTTCTCACCACAAACCCATTTCCTTCCTCTCAGGGCGGACTGCTACCTACCGAGGGTGCTTCCGACTGCCAGAGAACGTCACGCAAACCTTCCCCACCTCCCTGGTGGAGGCCAATGTGACCGTGGAGATGTGCTCAGGATTTTGTTCCCAGAAAGTAAGATCCGTGATAATCTCTCAGCCCTTTAAGGATCCAGCATGTGTGGTGGTCTGCGAAGAAAGGGCAGGTGCCCGTGCTGAGCTGCCCTTGTCTGCGCTGGACCAGGTGGGAGGGTACAGGAGGGAGGCAGGCCAGCCACCTGATGCACAGAGGACGCCAGTTGTTTGAGGCCAGGTAGGGAATTGTCTGTGAAGGCTATAAAGCTGGAAGGAATGTGCCTTTCTGGATGGGAGCTCTGCACAAGTGTCAGATGTTAAATTGACTTGGTTTGGATGCGTGAAGATGCTGGCTTGGGACTTGGGGATAGCTGATGGATTTTCTGTTGTTTGCACTGATGATGTTGGGCTGCAAATCTGACTGCAGGGGTCATGGTCACACCTGCTCCTTTAGTTGGATCCAGACTGTGGAATGGAGGGTGATTCTGCTAGCACTGGGCCAAGCACCCAAGGCCACTGTCCCCACATTGCATGCTAGCTCAGGAGTAGAAGGAGTTGAACAAGGGCACAGGGGGCTTGCAAAAGGCAGGGCCAGAAGTGTGTGACAAAAGGCTGGGAGACCCAGCAGACAGTGTCCAGGGAACAATGAGGTCTTGGGCTGGGGTCCGGGGCTACCTGGGTGTGCTGGGTTTCAGTAGTCTTGACAGGGCTGTGGTACTTGACTACATAATAGAACAGGACTAAGGAGAGAAGAAGGCTGTGTTGAGCGACTTTCTCAACAACGTAGAGGAGGGAAAGTCTATTTGGGACTCCTGATTTCAGAGGTCTCAGTCCATAGATGGCCAACTCCATAGCTCTAGGCCCAAAGTGAGACAGCACAGCATGGAGCAGAGGCGTGGTGGAGGAAGGTGGCTCAAGGAGGCAGAGAGAGGGCTTTGCTCACCAGGGACAAAATAAAAGCCCCAAGGGCACAGCCCAGTGACCTACCTTTTCCAGCTCCACCTGACCTGCCTACAGCTGCCCTGGGTTAACCCATATYGGTGTATTGATCCCCTGATAAGGTTACAACTCTCATACAATCATTTCACCTCTGAACATTCTTGCACATGAGCTTTGGGGGACACCTCATATCCAAACCTCACAAGGGCCTTCATTATGACGATGATGGTGACAATGATGATCAAGAGAAGGTGACATTTACTGATCACGTATTTCATGCCAGGTACCATCCCAAGCACTTTATGTGGCTAACTCCTTTCCTCCTTCTAAGAATCCTATAGGGTGAGGACTGAGGTCAGCTCCATTTTGCAGGTGAGGAAACTGAGGCAGAGAGCCCGAGTAGTCTGCTCAAGGTCACCTAGCCAGTAAGCGGTAGAGCCCGGGCTTGACGTCAGCCAGCTCCTCCGTCAGCTGATGGTTCAGTGGGTACGGGGGAGAGGCTTCAGTGAAGCAGATGTCCTCGGGCCTATATGAGCACATCCTCTGCTGCACCCCACCCCACACGCCCTGGGAGCTGCCTTCTTCCTGCTTCCTGTGTTCCTCAGTTGCCTGCAGAGCTTTCCTCTAAGGCTGCATGGAGAACAAAGCTTCCACTGGGGCTTCTTTCTTGCTCGAGTGCATCCTTTGAAGCAGCTCTACTGAGTCACCAGCATTTCCAAAGCCACTGCTGAGGATGCCTTGGGGATCAGAGTCCGCAGGACACAATATACCCAGCCCTGCACCCGGGCAGTTTATTGATTTGCAGACATCCGGCCTGCAGACCTGTGGGAGGCAGACCTCTGGGGGAGGCAATCGGGATGCATGCTCACCTGTCAGCTCCTGCCTGTACCCTCAGGGGAACAAACCACCCCCTCAAGGTRAACCTCACATCTGCAGTTCTGAGTAGTTCCCCAGAGAGAATCCTCCACTGGGATCAAGGAGCTGGTCACACAGGCTGAGGCTGGCTCCCTCCATCAGCAGCCCTGCAGGGCTCCTGCTGAGGGCTGGGTGCTGGGCATGAGTCATCTGCCTCAGTCCTCCCAGGGGCTCTGCCAGGGAGACATTCTCCTTTCTGTTTGCTGCCAGAGGCAGCGCAGGCTTGCAAGGTGGGAGTGTCCACACCCAGGCACCGAGCAACTAGCTTCACAGCCCTGTCTCCTGACACCAGGGCCTCGCTGCCACTCTGAATAAGTGGCAGAAAATATGAGAAGAAACAGGAGAGGGAATGGGCTGTCACCATGGCTGTGTGCCCTGAGCACTTCAGATGGCTTTGAGTGGATAATCTGTTCACATGTAACACAATGAAAAGATACCAGAGGGCCTGGCGGGAAGCTCCTTACTCCTGAGTCCTTCCGCTCACGTCCATTCTCCCAGGCAGCCCACAGCTGTCTGCTTTCCGAGACGGAATATTCAAGCAATTGCATCCTCTTCAATGTCATTACGAACCCCCTGGATGGTATAGAGTCCCGAACACAATTCTGCATCAAACCCATTCCACTGGACTATCCATCTTCAGGATGGTTCCATATCAGCAGAGAAAGTGATTTCTCAATCTTCTTTTTTCCTCATTACACAGATGGCCTATAATTTATTTAACCCATCCCTGCCTGTTAAACATTTAGGTTATTTCTAGTCTTTTGCTCTTAYAAACAACACAGCATTGGCTATCCTGGGGTCATTTTGTCTGAGTGAATCTGTAAGGAAAAAAAAACAACCCTAGGAGAGTTCAAGAATGTGTCTTTCATTGTAGTCAGAGTTGCCAGGTTGCCCTTAGCAAAGGTTATACTAATTGTATCTCCCTTCTAGTGATGAGTGAGGAGAACCGTGCCACCCTGGTAACCCTCATCTATGGGAAGGGTGGATTCCAATCCTAGGCAGATGCCCCAGGTGCACCACTGATTGGCCAGCCCTTTAGAACCGAGAAGGTCCTGCCTTGTGGTCACAGGCAAGAATTTCAAGATCTAGAACTCTTCAACTTCTATTTTCAGCCTTCCTTCCTATTTACTGGCACAAATCCAGGTTGCTACAATTTCACAGCGGAGCCTGTGCCAAAAGATACCCACAGGCTCTTGGGGATCTTAAGCCATTTGAGACCTTAGCAGCTTGTCCAGTTCCCCTCCRTGATACATTTCAAGAACGAGTTACCTGCTCAGCTCTGGCACATGTGGCTGGGAATCATTCTGGTCAGACCGTAGGGAAAGGCATCTCCAAAGAGGCCTGTGCCCTCTGTGCCTGCAGCATTGGATTCCATGTGACAGCGTCTCCCTCATCCGGCCCATCTGTATTGTCGGATGGGAGGGTGGGTGTTTCCTCGGGTCCCATTGTTTAGAGCTGCAGGATTTTGCAGCTGTAGGAAGAGTCACTATTTCCAGTTTGAGAGTTGAAAGCCCGCCTTAGTAAACGCACGTGGAGTGAAATTTGGCAAAACACATACRCTGATATTTATAGTGGGCGAAGCCAGATGCTGGGTGCCCGCAGAGTCTAGTGATCAGTGATCACTGGCCCCACTCATCACACCYGGCTCATGTCTAAGGAGGGGCTGGGATGGGAACTCGGGGGACTCACTCCTGGCAGGGTAAGGCCAGTGCTTGAAGCAGGTGAAGGAAGCTGAGAGGGAGGCTTAGAAGGGAGGAGGATRGCCCCTTTTAGGGAGGTTGGAGCTGGAGCAGTTGGGCAAGGTCAGCAGGTTGGGTGAGTGGAGCAGGGAGTGCCTTGTGAGAGGTGGCACCTGTGGAGCAGGATCAAGGTGGCAAGGAAGCTGCCCAGTCCTGCCAGAGTGGAGGGCTACCTGGGGGTGGYGTGAAACGTAGGGTGGGGACAAGTTGCAGAGGACTTGAGATGTCTGCTTTRAAGTTCAGACTTTTTTTCAGGGGGGAAAAAGAGAGGGAGTTCCTGAGGGTGTGGCAGRGAAGGAGTCATAAGACCCCCATGAMACTGCACARCTGCYGGAAGGTTATTCTGGAACACGGAGAGGGGTAGAGCTGATGAAGGATGAAGTCGATCCGAGAGATGCTTCAGGAGCAGAATCCACGTGAGACGTGGGCATCAGCTGGGGGGATGAGGAGGCATGTGGGGGGTGGGGGGAACATCTGGCCAGAGGAGAAGGGGAGTTTCCCGTGGATCCCTTTGGAAGGCAGCATTCCTTAGAGAGGCCTTGACAAAGCTGCCACAGAAGTCAACTGATGACCTGGCTATAAAGTGAGGGATTCCAGGAAGGGCATGAATGGTACCCAGATATCGTGCATCCCACTACAATGACCGCTGACCCAGCAGCGTCAGCCTTTGGTTCCCGGACCAGCTATCCCTGCTCCCTTGTCTAGCCTTTGGATGTTGCTATAACATAGACTCAAACCTTCTGGGCTGGCAGCTCCTGAGCTCTGCAGATTCCTGGTGGGGGCTTTGCTTCACCCTAGGCAGGGTGGGGGRAAGACTGACATTTCAGGTTGGAGAATTCTTTGTTTCAGGATCTGTCTGTGTATTAGAGGATACTTAAACAGTCTCCCTAGCCCCTGCCCACCAGATACTAACCGCAACTCTCCTCTCACTTGTGACAATTTTAGACTCCAGACATGGCTAAGGGCCCTGGGCGGGGGGAAATCAACCCTGGTGGAGTCCCATGGCTTGCTTGAAGGTGTTGGTTAGCAATGCCCAGGCCTGGCCCACTTTCCCCCAGGTTTGAATTCTACCTCTAGCCTTGAGGTCTGGGGATGTGAAAGCAATTGGAAATTCATCTGACCTTGGTCTCCTGAACATCGAGGGTGGTGAAAGCGGTGCATTCTGGGATGTCTGGGGTGCTTTCCTGTTCTGAAGGCCAAGCCCTCTTCTCCAGGAAGGCCGGGGGTACGGAGGCTGCAGGGCAGTCCCCGTGGAAGCTTTATCTCATGCTCATTTGGCCAAAAAAGCAGGATCCGATACCCTGTGAGGTGGGAATGGCTAAATTATGCCAGGGTCATACCGTGGTCTATAATAGAGCCATTGAAAATGTTTTCCAAAGACTCGCGTGAGGGAAAATGTTCGAAGCAGAATGTTTGGTGGGGGTAGGGGAGGGGACCAGAGGCTTAATTGGGGCCAGCTGGGTAGAAG